ATAATATTAAATGTCAATTAACTATTACAATAGAATTAATTGTGTACTTTGAAATTCATGCTTACAATATTAAAAAAAAATAGAAAGTGAATAATATTATTACTAAATTTTTTTCCAAAAAAAAATAATACTAAATATCTCAAAAGTCTCCTTCTATTCTAGTTGATATGTTATGTCATTAAATCAGCATTTTTAAAAAAAACAATAGACATATTTAATTCATTAAACTTATGCCTCTACAAAATAAATATATAAATTACGTGAGAATTTTATGAAGATTATAAAAAAATACTTTAAAATATCTAACTCCTTCATATTTTTCTACCCAATTTTTTTTAAAAAAAAGTAAAATCATTATTTTAGTTAATTGAGTTTGATGAATTAAATATGTCTATTATTAAAAAAAAGTCTTCAATGACATGGCATGCCAACTAGGAGAGAGTGGGGCTTTGAAGTGGTAAGTATATTTGAAGGAAAATAGTGATAATTAAATGATATTTTGGTCCTAAATGAAATATAAATGATATTTCAAGGCAATTTCTTAAACTTGGGTGACTATTTAGGGAATTGACTCTAAAAAGATTGAACATTATGAAAAATCTTATCCATCTGACAACGCACGAGTCAATGCCATATGCGCTTATGGTCTGAGGACCTCCACCTTTTTGGCTTTGAATAATGGAGACAATATATAGCTCCATATGAAAGTGGTGGTCGAGTGGAAAGCTTCTTTCTAGTTAAACCTATAAGAATCGTTAAAAATTACAAGTGGTGTAGAAACACCCAACATAACGGTCAAAGAAAGGAAATCACATTCCATGATTTTTCCCTTGTCAAACTGGAAAACATGAACACAATTAAGTCATATCTTCTTCGCGGTGGAAACCCAAAGGATCGCCTTTAATTACCCAATCTGCAATACCGGACACTTCGACGTGAACAACCAGAAATGTTATGAAGCAAATCTAATAGTCATTAGATATATAGAGAAGAAACAAAGGTAAAAAAAGAGAAGTTCAGTTGGTCTCAAAATCTTACGGTAAGGTCTCGATGACACAGATAAGGTCCCAACTGCTCCATAAGGCCGACCACCAACCTGTCATTCTACCCTTGATCAAAGTCATGCTCGGAGTTTGTAATCAAGACTAACTAATTATTCTGGGAGATGATATAACTAATTATTCTGTGAGATGATATGAATAACGCCACCTTGACAGGGAGAATATAAAGAAGTAGGTGGTCTAGGAAAAAGTTCAATCCTTTCCAGTCAGCCAGACGTTGTATACCCTCTAACCTTGGGGAGAAAGTATAACCAGACACCTTTGATAACACCTTTGATAAAATTACTCAATAATATCGGGAAGGGGAAGCTCAAAGCCTATGGTGAAAGGATAAATAAAAATTAAGAAAAAAACCTTCAATATGATGTGTAGTCCGAGTGTTCTTTGGCATGACACTAATATTCATGTCATCCTCCTAGCTGCAGTTTAGTTTTACCCATGGGAGGTTATTTTCTCTAATCAATGATTTGTATTCTTCCCATGCTCAGGACTTGAAAAATCACCGAAAAATAAGAGAGTTTTAGGAGAATATTGATGTCTAACGCCTCCTTTCCGACATATTTCAATGGACCACTAACAAAGGTCTTCGCTTCACTAAGACTTTGTGAAGAAACTTTTGTTACATCTCATTCTTTGTCTAAACAATGCAAAGATGTGACATCCCAGATATTCTGTAATCCCCCATAACTTAAAGTACATGTGCGACTTGTAAATATCGATGAATAAATATAAGATCAGGAAAATATGTTATGATTCGAGTCTATACCCTAGACGAGATATGGTACTTGAAATCAGGAATGACCCCATGTAATGACCCTTCAGGTTATTTTTGCCTTAATGCCTCATTTTCATCATTTAGAGCATTCCTATAGCGACCCCAAGTCATTTATGACTTGCTGGCACTGACTGTTCGGTCGCCTGGTCGTTCGTTTGGGTTTTATGCCCGTTTCGATGTTTTGGAACTTTTGAAACTTGAATAGTTGACTTTAGTCAGAACGTTAGGTAAACGACCTCAGAATGGAATTCTAACGGTTCCATAAGCTCTGGAATGGCCAAATTAGGCTAGTAGCATGGTTGACATGAGTATCGAGGCCTTCAGTGTGAGTTTGGACCATTAGACGTTTTAGCCATTGAAATTTGGCCTAAGGTTGACTTTGGTCAACATTCTTGGAAAACGCGCTCGAATGAAAATTCCGTTAGCTCGGTCAGTTCCGGAATGTCGAGTTTGGTCTAGAACGACCTTTCGTTTGCTTCCCGAGGTTTCCGATCTAATCCCGAGGCCCATTGTGGAATTGGGCTAAAATGACATTTGGGTGTGGGACCCACTTTCAGTCAAAATGACCTCGTATGGAAATTTCGACAGCACCATTGAGTCCGAAACATAGAATTTAGTGGGGTAGCATAGTCCGTTTGTGCTCTCGGGGATACGAACGGATCCTGAACACCCCATCGGAGACTTCAAAAATGGAAATAATCTGCTGGTGCACTGTATCTGGTGCGCCCTCGCCTATAAGACAACCATTTTCAGCTTTTCTTCTAAATTTCAAAGTTGAACATCTTGAGCTATAGAGCACCAAACTGGTAAGAGGCTAGGTTGTGAGATTTTTCGAGGAGAACACGTTGGTGAGCTCGGAAGCTGCTTTGGGACCTTCGTTTGAGGTAAATTCTCGTTTTCATTTGTTGTCATGGCTACTTTGTGAACTCAATTTGTGGGATATTTTGGGACTTGATTTCTCCCTCATTCTAAGTCCGAATTTAATGATTCCAGTGGCTATTTTAAGTGGTTTTTTGAGAAGAATGTCGTGGTATTGTTGGAATTCACTGTAGACCTTCTGTTTCTGGTAAATTTACTGATTTCAGTTGCTGTCCTATTTCTAGTTATTGAGAAAATCCAGTTTTTGGTTGCATGTTGATATTGTGATATTTCTGAGTCGCAAATTGTGTCCCATTTTGGGACATAAACTCGGGGAACTGATTATGACCTATTTTTGGGGTTAGTTTTGAAATTTTTAGCGCGGGTCCCACTTTCCCTGTTTTGACCCCGAAATTGATCCGTCTCCGGTTCTTGTGATTTTAGTGTCAAAACGACCGTAATAATGTTGTGATTCTATTTTTGATAGCGTGGAAGCGTTTCGAGGCTGTTCGTAAAGGGAAAGCTCCGGAGAAGTGATTTTAGAGCGTGTGCGATCGGCCTACAGGTAGGCTACGGCTTCCCTATCTTAGATTAAGCTTGAGAATGTGAATGCATGTTGATTAGTTGGGATTTGGGTTGGGTAGTTATTGAATCATGCATAGGTGTTTAAAAATCATGTTTTCAGCCTATTTTGGGAATTACCGGGTAACTGTGAGCATGCTATGTGTTATTAATTGACCCTCTTCGCTATATGGAGTACTTGTATGCTTGAATACTGTTTATTTGAAGCATATTGTGCCTTATTTTAGGTTTGACTAGGGCTTGCCTTAGAAATGCATGATTCAAAACCGATAGGCCTTAGTTTTACCCCGACGTCGCTCAGTCGGCTTAGATCCCTATAGACTGGTGTAGCAGACTTGACTCTGATAGTTTGGGCCTTAGCTAGGCGATATGCTTGATCCGATGATAGTTATCCTTATTTCTCCGATACTATGACTTCACGAGTTACGTCGGCGACACTGGGTTCTGCTCCGCGATTTGAAGTTGGTTTTCGATTCGGTTCCAAGGATTTACATTGATTGGCTAAGTGTAGATGGCGTTCTATGGATATTTATGATTATGGATCGATTGAGACTCTTTCAGCAGCTACATTGGCACCTTTGTCGGGCATCCAGATCTAAGCTCCAACCTCGACCTCATTGATATTTTCAAAGAGCATCTGGTTCAAGATCCGTCCCCGATCACTCGGATACTTATATAGAGCATTCGGTTACAGGTCCGACCTCAGTTACTTGATACTTGTGATTGGTTACTTGGGTACTTCTGGTGAGCATCCAGTTCGAGGTTCGACCTCCGTACTGTTAGATACTACTAATTGGGGTTGAGGTTCTTGTTCGATGTTCTCCGGTCTTGGGTTCTTAGATGCAGTTCTCTTTAATTATAGTTATTATGTGTACTCGTCGAGCTTATGGGGGCCTGTTCGGGTTTTTATTTAAACTTGCGCATGAGTGTACCTTCTGGGTTTATGGGGTCTTGTTAGGTATAGTTAGCTTATAGATTACTTTAGTTAGTTCTTTCTACACTCGTGTGAATTCCATTGTTTTCTTAGATTTCCGTTCTTGACCTCTACTTGTGCTATTCCTTCTTTTTATATTGCCTTTACTTTTCAAGTGCAGTCGGCCTATGATGCCTATTGGGTACCTGTTGTTTTGGTACTCATACTACGTTCTGCATCTGTTTTCGTGATGCAGGTCCGAGCACCTGTGGCCAGCCGTTGATATCGAGCTTGGAGTAGTCTGATTCGTAGACGGGGGTGAGCACACGACATTTTGTACTATTTCAGTCTCCATCTGTATATATAGATTTGTCTTTTGCCTTTGAGACAATCTAATTTTTGTGGTCCACTTTTGGGACTTGTACTCGTTTTGTTAGTAGCTCTGTACTAGTGACTTCCAGGTTCTGGGAGGGATCTTTATTTGTATATATATTTTGCTTCCGCCTGTTTATATTTTTATCTTAAATTTTCTCTGTACTAGTGACTTCCAGGTTCTGGGAGGGATCTTTATTTGTATTTATGTTTTGGTTTGCTTCCGCCTGTGTATATTGTTATTTGCCTACTCTTGTTTAGTTTCTACCCTCAGACCCATTACTTGTTGTTCCGGGTTACGGGTTGGCTTACCTACTGGTGGGTTATAGTAGGTGCCATTATGACTAGTGAAATCGAGTCGTGACAAGTTGGTATCAGAGCCCCAGGTTCATCGGTCTCACTTGTACAGAGCTAACGTCTAGTAGAGTCCTGCGGATCGATGCGGAGACGTATGTAAGTTATCTTCGGGAGGCTACATGATGTCTTTAGGAAGATTTCCTCTTTTGTTTCACTTTCGTGCATCGTGTGTCTTATTGGTTCCTTGAAATCTCACTTGTTTCACTGTTTCGCAGGATGGCTTGCACGCGAGGTGGCGCAGCTGGGGGTGATGCACCCGGGCTTGCAGATAGAGCCCCAGCTTGGGGTAAACGCCGACCCCGAGGTCGAGGCAGGGCCGCAACACCGGCCCGAGATAGGGAGGAGGAGTCCTAGGCAACATATGTACCTCCACAACCAGTGGGCCCAGCCCAGCCACCACCTGCACCAGCTGCAACTCCTGATCTTCATGCCATGATGGCTCAGATACTAGCAGCTATTGGGGAGATGCGACATGCACCAGCGCCATTACCAGCTCCAGCTCCTAAGGGTGTGCATCAGTCGTTCGGTCTGGTTTTATGTATTATCGGTTCGGTTTATCAGTTTTTGTTTTAAAATATGTTAAACCAATAAAATATTTTTTATGGGTTTTTGGTTCATCGATTTTGGTCCTTAACGGTTCGGTTTTCGATTTAACCAATAAGAAAATACTTATAAAATAAATATATGACTTTTCTAATAAATTTGATGCGAAAACACAATAATGTAACTTTACAAATGCTCATAAAATAGAAACAATAATAACAAACATGAAAAGAACTATACAAGCGTAACACAAAGAAAAATTAAGAGGAATATAGTTCTTATTTTAGATTTTAACGTTTATTATAATGTGAAATTGTGAACTCGAAGTCACTGTGAAGTGTGAATTGAAGGCTAAAGGACAAAGATAGTAACAACTAAGGTATTGAGATTAATATATAATATTTATGCACATGTAAAAATAGTAAATTACTAGTCTTAATGGGTTATCGGTTTACCCAATAACCCAATATTAAAAACCAATACCGAACCGATAACCCAATAATTTTTTTTATAAAACCATTAAAAAACCGTTAACCCAATAGCCCAATAACAATAAACCAATAACACATTTATCGGTTCGATTTTTGCACACCCCTACTAGCTCCCGCTCCAGAACCGCAGGGTCAGCCTGCCGCAGTGGCATTAGAGGTTCAGCCGCCACCAGTTCATGTGGCCGCCCAGCCAGACTTAGAGGACGGGAAGATGCCACTGCGCGAACAGAAAATTCTCGGGATATTCCAGAGGTTGGCACCGGAGATATTCTCAGGGGAGATTAGGGAGGATGCCCACGAGTTCCTGCTCATTTGCTAGGAGAAACTACAGTCATTAGGCCTCGTGCAGTCGAGAGGATCCAACTTTACCCCCATCAGTTTCGTGGGCCAGCCAAGCAATGGTGGCCCACGTATCGACAGTCCATGCCAGCTGGATCGCCTTTTATATCTTGGGGTGAGTTCTAAGAGGCTTTATTGGCCCAATTCATACCACGGAGCGTCAGGGATAGACTTCATGATCAGTTCTCCAGATTGGAGCAGGGCCCTATGACCGTCTCAGAGTACGAGGCGAGGTTCCATGAGTTGTCCCGCCATGCTACCATGATCCTGCCCACGGAGGATGAGAGAGTTTGTTGTTTTGTATGTGGGTTGCGGTACCGTCTGAGGGTCGACACAGAGCATTTGGTTTCAGCCGGCCCTTCATTTATTGATGTGGTCGACCATGCCCGATCCATGTAGCATATTCATCGCGAGGCCCAAGGGGGCAGGGATAAGAGGGCACGCTCAGGGTGTTCATCTTTAGAGTGTTATGCTCTTGACCATTGGTCCAAATAGTGGCCCCGGCGAGGGCGAAAGGCGATTGTACCAGCTCCCCCTGCATCTAGACCAGTTTCAGCAGTGCCCTCTCTAGCTAGATGTGGTGGTCAAGACCAAGACCACCACTTGCTAGGAGAAACTACAGTCATTAGACCTCGTGGAGTCGAGAGGATCCAACTTCACCCCCATCAGTTTCGTGGGCCAGCTAGGCAATGGTGGCGCACATATTGACAATCCAGGACAACTGGATCGCCTTTTATATCATGGGGTGAGTTCTAAGAGGCTTTCTTGGCCCAATTCATACCACAGAGCGTCAGGGATAGGCTTCATGATCAGTTCTCTAGATTAGAGCAGGGCCCTATGACCGTCTCAGAGTATGAGGCGAGGTTCCATGAGTTGTCCCGCCATGCTACCATGATCCTGCCCATGGAGGATGAGAGAGTTCGTTGTTTTATATGTGGGTTGTGGTACCGTCTGAGGGTCGACACAGAGCATTTGGTTTCAGCCGGCCCTTCATTTATTGATGTGGTCGACCATGCCCGATCCATGTAGCATATTCATCGTGAGGCCCAAGGGGGCAGGGATAAGAGGGCAGGTTCAGGGCGTTCATCTTCAAAGTGTTATGATTGCAGTGCTCTTGACCATTGGTCCAAAGAGTGGCCCCGGCGAGGGAGAGGGGCGATTGTACCAACTCCCCCTGCACCTACACCAGTTTCAGTAGTGCCCTCTCTAGCTAGATGTGGTGGTTAAGACCAGGACCACCACTTGCTAGGAGAAACTACAGTCATTAGGCCTCGTGGAGTCGAGAGGATCCAACTTCACCCCCATCAGTTTCATGGGCCAGCTAGGCAATGGTTGCGCACATATTGACAGTCCAGGACAGCTGGATCGCCTTTTATATCTTGGGGTGAGTTCTAAGAGGCTTTCTTGGCCCGATTCATACCACAGAGCGTCAGGGATAGGCTTCATGATCAGTTCTCTAGATTAGAGCAGGGCCCTATGACCGTCTCAGAGTATGAGGCGAGGTTCCATGAGTTGTCCCGCCATGCTACCATGATCCTGCCCATGGAGGATGAGAGAGTTCGTTGTTTTGTATGTGGGTTGTGGTACCGTCTGAGGGTTGACACAGAGCATTTGGTTTCAGCCGGCCCTTTATTTATTGATGTGGTCGACCATGCCCGATCCATGTAGCATATTCATCGTGAGGCCCAAGGGGGCAGGGATAAGAGGGCAGGTTCAGGGCGTTCATCTTCAGAGTGTTATGATTGCAGTGCTCTTGACCATTGGTCCAAAGAGTGGCCCCGGCGAGGGCGAGGGGCGATTGTACCAACTCCCCCTGCACCTACACAAGTTTCAGCAGTGCCCTCTCTAGCTAGATGTTTATTTTGCTCCCGATTGGGTATGAGGTCTGAGTCCTTGGTAGAGCCGGTTCATGTTTCGACCCGGGTGGGTGAGTCCTTAGTAGTGGATCAGGTATTGCGATCTTGCTTAGTGACTATCTAGGGTTATGATACTAGAGTTAATCTTATTCTGCTAGATATGATTGATTTCAATGTGATTCTGGGCATGGACTGGTTATCCCCCTGCCATGCAGTCTTGGATTGCTACGCCAAGACCGTTACCTTAGTGTCACGACCAAGACCGTTGTGATTGACACCCACACAAACCCTTCGGTGGGAGAACCATTACTACAACCCAAACAAACAAATTTTATGAAAACTAAGGCATTTAAAGAAACATAAGCATGTTTAAATGACAATAAAAATACGGAGTTCCCATAAATTCGAAAGGTTTTAACAAACAACTAACCAAACTAATGCGGAAGAACAACCCCTAGAGCCGAAAAGTTAATATACCAAAACTCTACTAACGACAAGTCTAAGAACAAGGGTAAAACCCCAAAACTAAACAAACACCTTAAACAAATAGTCTGAGTCCGAAAAGAGTAAATTTAAACAAGAGAGATCCATGGCATCCTGAAAGAACTGGCTCACCCTTGAATCCGGTCACGCTCAATAGTCACCTAGCTGAGGTCTATCAATAGCTGCCTGAAGATGCCTTGCACTCAACAAAGAACAAGCAAGTGCAGTATCAGTACACAACCACAGTGTACTGGTAGGATCACACGGCTATCCCAATAAGCAATCCGATCCCATATTTATGTCGGAACGTGGCAATCCGATCCAAGTTAGTTATGTTGGAACGTGGTAGCCGATCCCATATTTATGCTGGATTGTGGCAATCGATCCCAGTTAGTTATGCCGGAATGTTGTAGCCAATTCCAGTTAGTTATGCTAGAACGTTACAGCTGATCCCATATTTATGCCGGAACGTGGCAACCGATCCCATGTTTATGTCGAAATGTGGCAACCGATCTCATGTTTATGCCGGAACTTGACAACCGATCCATTCAACAAATCGCAATCACAATCACAATGTATATTCTCACAATCATACAACAAGAGGTGATTCATGGCATACAATTATTCAATTATCCTCATTTACGATTAGGGTGATCAATAATGCAACATTCGCATACATACATGCATTATAATGAGCAATTACAAACATATATCACACCAACATGAAATCACAACCATCACTTACCTCAAATCCAAGCTTGAATCCCCTAAGACACTTGAATCATCCTTTCCGAATTCTTCTTTCTTGTTCGTGGTCTAAAAATATACAATTAACGCAAGGATCAACAATCAATGGTCTAATTATCCGGATTATAACAAGCCCACTAACCCTAGACCAAACTCAAGATCCTAATACCTAATTTAGGGCTTTTTTCCACCATAGATTCTAGATCAAAACCCTCCCCCATCGATAATTACCTATTAGATTATGTTCTGCGGATCGAAAAATGGATTTGGGGAGTTAAAATCTTACCTTTAGCCTCAAGAATGGTGGAAAACTGTAAAGAATTACCTGGGTTCGTTCCTTAGCTCCAAAAATAAAAAAGTGCACAATAAAGACATTTTGGGGTTTATTTACGACCTTAAGTCGCGTCGAACCCGCCACAGCGGTCCTCACCCTGCTACAACGGCCCCACTTTGGCGGCAGAAATCTCGCCCCATCGGCTTGCACGGAACTAGTGAGCTATTTTAATAATTCCAAGACCCCCTTTTCACAACACACCTTTAACCAATGACGCTCAGAAAATACCGTTCACGCTAAGATCGATTTTGGGAGTTCTACTCACCCGAATTCAATTTCGTTAAGTCGTACAAATTTCTTAACTACTTATCTAACCACTCCTGTAATCGAAATCATAAATAAGTCACCTGATTGTTACCAGATTTCCCTACACCTTAACAACTCTGATTTTGTCCAAATCTGGACTAGGTTGGGAAATCCCAAGTTACTACGAAAAAGTTTTCTGACCTGAATTTTTTCCCCATTGGCTTTTCTATAACGACGGGAACATGTCGTTACAATAGATACCAATTTACCCATCACTCATCCCTGAGTGACAAACTAAAAGAAAAGGGCTAAAGCAAGAATGAAGTAGTATCTGAATCGTCGAATAACTGGTGATACTTGTCCCACATACTTTTTTTATTGACTCTGGGCTGCTAGAAGCTTAGATTGGATACTTCTCACCTTACCCCGAACATCTTTCACCAAATCAACTCTCAAAGATTTCACATCTTCCACCTCAAACCAACAAATTGAACACCTACACATCCTCCCATACAATGCCTCAATGAATTGATCTCAATACTCGAGTGATAAATATTGTTGTAGGTAAACTAAACTACAACAAACGTGATTCCCAACAACCACCAAAGTTGATCGTACACACGTCTACAACATGTTATCAAGGACCTTAACACAATCATCTGGACGAATCCTTTAGCACTCAAGCATGATAAAATTCCAAGTCAATACTCGCTACAAATAGAAGTGAACCTGAATCAACCAACACACACTCATAATACCCAAACAATCATAGTTCTTAACAATATCTCTATCCCACAACATAAATTCCCATGAGCTTAAGTTATAACAAATTTGATCTTTAGAAATCAGATACACATTGAGGGATATGTCCAAGCATACAACCCCTCCAGCAACACTATCGAAATGCTAGATTTAGTACTTGTAGATTACCTCTTAAGAACAGTAGAATTGGACCCAATGATCCCTACATTCAACCACACATAATCGATACATGACCTCGACGACTAGAAGAATATTAAGATTGTCGGACAACCACAAATACGCATGGTAGCTCTTCTATAAATTCTCATAAGCAAGGTGTTAGATGTGGAACCACTAAAATACTTTAACAACTCCAAGACAACACCAATTATGTCATTCGTGATAACCAAATCTTCCTAATCAACCAATAGAACATCGCAGGATTTGGTACCCCTGATCCACCACTAGGGATCCATCCACAAAAGTAAAAACACACGAGAGCATAACTAGTGAATCATACTCACAATACTAACAACCATCATAAACACTCCGAC